AATGCCAAGCGCCTCCCATTACCTACTCATTTATTGCTGAGAATACAAGTGGGTAGTTTGAACCTCCCTTCTGCTACCATACGGAATCGAACCTATGACCAATAACTTACACACAATAGATATTAGGAAAGTTATCATCTTAACTAAACCATATCAAATTATATTCAGTGTTTTCTTGATATAGTTTAGTGAAGATGATAACTGGGCCATGGATAGAATTAGTTATCATAACCCAAAACAATCTGTAGCATTCGAGGAAGAACATAAAGAAGGTAAAATATAACAACAATGGATCACAACTAAAATTCTAAAGAAAGCGGAAAGAAGAAAGGAAGAGGAGCAGAAGTGAGGTTTACCAAAACTTTTCTACGATATATTAAAAAGAAATGTTGATAGATTAATCCAAAGAAAGGGAGAGAGAGAGAGAGAGGGGGGGAGAGAGAGAGAGAGAGAGAGAGAGAGAGAGAGAAGTATCTCGCAGAAAAATGCAAAAAAAATGAATGATGATAGACGATGCTTATAGGGAGAGAAATATACGGAAATCTGAATTGGGGTAGTAAAAGAGAATACAAATGGGTTAGGCAGGGTTTCAATTTGTGAATTTAGGTTTTAGGGGGGGTAAACGATTTGGGAGCAAGAGATATGTTTGATGAGAAATCAATCACAGAATTTTTGGGCGTTTTGCGATTCTACCCAAACTGGGGTGAAAGAGCTGTCCGTGCATTGCTTCTGTTTGTGTTTATTATATCTTTGTGAGTCAGGCTTTTCAACCTTGTTGCAAATTAAAACGAAGAGGGTAGTAGATTAGAGGTAGGGAAATGACCTTATTTGGTGCCAAGCACCTCCGCGTATCTTAGAATTGTTGATGAAAAAACAATCACAGGTTTCTTATTGACTGTAATCTTCATCTGAATAAAATTAATTACAAATTTTATCCTGGTATTCTATTGAACTTTGTTTATTGCATTATGCTCAGTTTGGTCTGTTAAGTAATTCATTATAAAAAAAAAAAAACTATTTGCCTTTTATTCAAGTTTTTTAAACCATCAACATTTTCAATTGGCATTAATTTGTAAAACTCACTATAAAATAATCCATGTAAATTGTAAATGTGTACCATATGGAAAAAGGTGTTGATTTTTGGGTATTATTTCAATATTTATTTTGGAATGCACTTTTGAGGCAGAATAATCTTGGAAAGGAGGGGGAATGGGATTTGGAACATGGTAGGGGTATGGGGCAAAATAAGGTGAGAACCACTGGTTTAGGGGTCAGTAAAACTAAAGGTACAGAGGTGCAGTAACCAGAACAAGTGAAAGAGAAAGAGGCAGAGATTTATAGAAGAACCATGTAAGCAAAGTTTTACTGAAAATAAGTCAGAAAGAATAAAATCTGAAATGACGAATGAATAATATGAAGAGAAGTTTAAATTAAATAGGAAAGAGGAACAAGATAAGATATATTTGGTAGTTTTACAATGTTAAAAGCTATTTGCATATTTTTGTCGAATTTGAAAAGTGTATAACTTAAAATTTCAGAGATAGCTTGAAAATATTATTATCAAAGAAGAGAATAATTAAATTCCCAAAACTATTACTCGCATCAGGAGGCCGTAGTGTTAACTTATAACTAATAACGGGGTAAATGGGACTTAGACATCATGGTGTATCCGTTCAGTAATGATAATAGAATAAAATTTAATGGTAAAGTAGTATCAGTTTTCAGTATGTACACGATTATGTTTTTAACACTGCTCAACAAATTATTGACAAAAGGTGAAGAATATGACCTTGAGAGTTATTACAATAGAGACGAAGTTTCTGGTTGTTTCCAAATTTAAGGTAAATCCAATGATGAAAACAAGGAGAAATTAAACAAAGGCAATACTTAATAATCCTAGAGAGATGTTGAAAACAGAAAATTAATCTTCGTCAGAGAATTATTTTTAGCTGAAATGTTTTGTATGGATCAGTACTACTGTATGGGTCAGGAGGAGGTTAGAGACCTTTAAAATATGGTGCTAAAAAAGAATGCTAAATATAAACTAACAAAAACTAGTGAAAAAGTAATAATTCTGGGTTAAATAGCGATATTTGGCATTTAAAGAATAGAAAAATAGAAGATAAATTAGCTATATTATAAGAGTTAAGGTGAAAATGGCAGACGTACTAATGGGTACAATTTACGCTTCAAATGGCTAGAGGACAGCAGAGACTGTGTTAGATGAATGACATTGACAGCAGAGCCCTCAAAGGTAAACAAAATTGCCAGAATAGATAAAGGCAGTCTGGAAACGTTTGGTGTGGAGGGTTGTGGTCGCCAGCCCTCAGATTTGAGACTGATTACCAAAACGACAACAACACTAACAATTCCTCTCAATTTGTGGGATCATGATTTATGATTGATCAATTTATTCTTTAAACGACCCGGTAGTTCGTGGTTGTTTGTGGTCATGAGTTGGCTCCACCACAGGTCTCACATGTTGTTCATATAGGTTGAGACTTTCCAGTATGTGTGTCGTTAAACCCCTTGTGGGAGTTTTAGTGTAACCATCATGTAATACTGAGTGAATGACTATAATTTAAGGAGTAATTATGTGTGACTTGCCTTTGGACACATACAATTCTACACGAGGTCATACAATCCCGTAGGATACATAATACAGGAAATTCTACAAGATTAACTCCCTTTCTTATAAAGATTTTGGGACAAAGACTACAGCTGTACAGTACATCACGTGTGTCCTACAAGTGTGGCTGTGGAGAAGACAGCCATCGATGTAGTGGAAGGAAGGAAGGAGGGAATGGAAGGAGGGATGGAGGGAGGGAAGGGGGAGAGGGAGGGCGGGGGGAGGGAGGGCGGGGGAGAGGGGAGGGCGGGGAGAGGAGGGCGGAGGAGGAGAGAGGGGGGGTGAAGGAGGGAGGGAGTAGACACATATGAGATAGGGGGACAGAAAATACAGTAAATAAAAAGGCATATAAAGAAGTAGGGAAGGAAGGGAGTAGGGAGGAAGGCAGAGAAGGAGGTAGAGAAGGAGGGGAGTAAGGAGGTAGGGAGGGAAGTAGAGAAGAAGGGAAGTAGAGAAGAAGGGGAGTAAGGAGGTAGGGAGGGAAGTAGAGAAGAAGGAAAGTTAAGAAAGAGGAAAGTAGAGGAGGGGAGTGACAAGGGAGGGAGGCAGGGAGGTAAGTGGAACAAATATGTCAGTCGCGTCGGTCACTTTCACTCCATTACTACAGCTGCTGCCTCCTGTACTCTATATTGGGTGAGGTGGGCGTGTCAGCGTGTGGGTGATGTGGGCGTGTCGGTGATGTGGGCGAGTCGGTGATGTGGGCGAGTCGGTGATGTGGGCGAGTCGGTGATGTGGGCGTGTCGGTGATGTGGGCGTGTCAGTGTGTGGGTGATGGTGGTGTAACAGCGTCTAAATCACAATTATGATCGCATTAGTATTTTGGTGTTTATTCCTGCGAGGCTTCTTGTGTTTACATGGGACTGGCCAAAAACACGCTGGTGCAAAACTTGAAAAACTACTTTAAATTTATTCACTCCTTTTGTATTTGTATCGTACGGCAAAAATCTTTTTAGCTTCGTGCGTGTCAAGTGGTTCTTTAGTGACAATCGTTAACATCTATCTTCTTTCCTTGATATGTAACTTTATTATTACACTCGTTCACACTCAATTCTTTTTATCTTCTTATTCATAATAACACGAAGCAAACATCAAAACTGTTGTCATGGTGAGTTGAGGTTTAGAAGACACAGGACACCGAGCCACACAAACTTCCTCTCTCTGAAAGATCAAGACCTATACGACCCCTCACCTCTCTGACATTCCCGGTGTGTGGCTCTATCCTGCTCGGACGACTGAGGGGTATTTTCTTGTGTCCTAACAACGAATTCTCAGTATTTCGTTGTCTTCACGTTTTAACTGTCAAATGCTTTACACTATTGACTAAATTCACACAAACAGTACAGTATAGTATACGTACGTATCATGCTCCGAGGCTCGTTGTTGTTAGTCAGATTCAAGAAACGACCCTTTTAGACGACCCTCCAAGACGACCCTTGGCGATAATCTTCCGGAACCATCCAAAGCAGAGCGGTTAATTTATCTTTACTTCTTTTAAGTTATCTATTATTTAATGGAAAACAGGATTTTCACCTGAAATCGGGTGAAGCAAATTTACAGCTGCTTATTGTTTAAGGTTTACATCCTTCACATCGCGTTACGTCACGTCACGTCTGTGGTCTAGTTCGTTCGGGGAATCTGTTCGTAGTTTTTAAAAGAACGAGGAAAACAATATCAATATCACTGTGACTCCGAGAACATTTTCTGGTGCAGTGATGGTGGCCCGGGAGGAAGCAGTGATGGTGGCCCGAGAGGAAGCAGTGATGGTGGCCCGGGAGGAAGCAGTGATGGTGGCCCGGGAGGAAGCAGTGATGGTGGCCCGGGAGGAAGCAGTGATGGTGCCCGGGAGGAAGGCGATGGTGGCCCGGGAGGAAAGTGTGGTGGCCTGAGAGGAAGAGGATGGTGGCAGGAGGCAGGATGATGTCCTGGGAGGAAGCAGTGATGGTGGGCCTGGGAGGAAGCAGTGATGGCTAGCCCTGGGAGGAAGCAGGATGCAGGCCCGGGAGGAAGCAGTGATGGTGGCCCGAGAGGAAGCAGTGATGGTGGCCCGGGAGGAAGCAGTGATGGTGGCCCGGGAGGAAGCAGTGATGGTGGCCCGGGAGGAAGCAGTGATGGTGGCCCGGGAGGAAGCAGTGATGGTGGCCCGGGAGGAAGCAGTGATGGTGGCCCGGGAGGAAGCAGTGATGGTGGCCCGGGAGGAAGCAATGCATGCAGGCCTGGACCTGAAGCAGTGGATGGGCGCCTGAGAGGCCCTGTGATGATGAGTGCCCGAGGAAGCAGTGAGGTGGGCCTGGGAGAAGCAGTGATGCTGGCCTGGGAGGAAGCAGTGATGGTGGCCTGAGAAGCTGTGATGGGGCCCGGGAGGAAGCAGAGGATGGTGGTGGCTCCAGGAGAAGCAGGAGGGATGGAGGTCTGGGAGGAAGTAGTGAAGGTGCCCAGGAGTGAAGCAGTGAAGGTGACCCAGGAGGAAGCAGTGGAAAGTGACCCCAGGAGGAAAGCAGTGAAGGTGACCCCAGGAGGAAGGTGACAGTGACCAGGAGGAAGCAGCACAACCCCAGGAGGAAGCTGTAAGGTGACCCAGGAGAAGCAGAAGGAACCCCTGGAGGAAGCAGTGAAGGTGACCCCAGGAGGAAGCTGTGAAGGTGACCCCAGGAGGAAGCAGTGAAGGTGACCCCAGGAGGAAGCTGTGACAGTGACCCCAGGAGGAAGCTGTGGTGACCCCAGGAGGAAGCTGTGAAGGTGACCCCAAGAGGAAGCAGTGAAGGTAGCCCCAGGAGGCGACCCAAGGAGGAAGCTGTGAAGGTGACCCCAAGAGGAAGCAGTGAAGGTGACCCCAGGAGGCGACCACAGGAGAAAGCAGCGAAGGTGGCCCCAGGAGGAAGCTGTGACGCACTCCTCAGTTTAGAGAAACTCTTCTGACGTCACAAAAATCGTGTTTCCCATTTGCATAATTGGCGCTGACAGTCAATTGTCACAACACATCAACAAGACGATGCTACTGCAGATAGACAGAACAAGCGGCAATATGTTAACTCCATAAAGTTATTAGAATACATAGAAATATAAATCCATATTTTGTTTTACAGCAGAAGTGTAAACCGTTAACTGATGTACCGACAAGTAAACTCACACATTTAGTTTACTCAGGCCTACACGATGATCTGTTCTTGAATACAATCGCAGTCTCTAATCAAATTTTGGTCAGTAAAGTTATTTCCTGGCTGGACGGATGAATAATAATAATATGTTAGTGAGTCCAGCGGCGTCAGCGGATTCACATTAACCCACGACAATACAAGATCTTCTTTATCCACTAATACATTTATATTAAACTTGACTTCATATTTCACTCCGCAACTCCTGTGAAGAGTTCACAATTATTTTTTTTTTAAAAGGTTTTCTATCTTTTTGTTTACTTTTCAACATATCCATTATTTCCAGTGTTACTCACACTGTTTGTTGTTGTTGTTGTTGTTGGTAAATGGTGAAGAAACAAGAAGTAAATATATATGAAGAATGAAAATGGAAACATGAGAGAAAAATAATAAGAAAATTGTATGTTCTTATGATCTACCTTCCTCACGAAGACAACCAGGAACCCTTCAGGTACCTAAGAGAACACTGCAGGCAACAGTGAGAACACTGCAGGCAACAGTGAGAACACTCTAGGCAACAATGAGAACACTCGAGGCAACAGTGAGAACACTGCAGGCAACAGTGAGAACACTCGAGGCAACAGTGAGAACACTGCAGGCAACAATGAGAACACTCTAGGCAACAGTGAGAACACTGCAGGCAACAGTGAGAACACTCGAGGCAACAGTGAGAACACTGCAGGCAACAATGAGAACACTCTAGGCAACAGTGAGAACACTGCAGGCAACAGTGAGAACACTGCAGGCAACAGTGAGAACACTCGAGGCAACAGTGAGAACACTGCAGGCAACAATGAGAACACTCTAGGCAACAGTGAGAACACTGCAGGCAACAGTGAGGCACTGCAGGCCAGCAGTGGGGAGCACTCTGGGCAGCAGTGAAACAAATAAAAAGAACCACAAACAAATAAAGGGAACACTCGAGGGCAGCAGTGAGAACACTGCAGGCAACGGTGAGGAGCACTCGAGGCAACAGTGAAAACGCTGCAGGCAACAGTGAGAACACTCGAGGCAACAGTGGGGAGCACTGCAGGCAACAGTGAGGAACACTCAGGGCAGCAGTGAAAACGCTGCAGGCAACAGTGAGAACACTGCAGGCAACGAGTGAGAACACGCGAGGCAGCAGTGAAAACGCAGGCAACCGTAAGAACACTCGAGGCAAAGTGAAAACACTGCAGGCAACGGTGAGAACGCTCAGGGCCACAGTGAAAACACTGCAGGCAACAGTGAGAACACACGAAGCATCAGTAGAGAACACTCCGAGGCAACGAGTGAGAAACTCTGCGGGCAGCAGGTGAGAACTGAGCAGCAGTGAAAGGCAGCTGCGGCGGGCAACGAGTGAGAACACTGCAGGCAACAGTGAAAACACTGCAGGCAACAGTGAGAACACTGCAGGCAACAGTGAGAACACTGCAGGCAACAGTGACAACACTAGGTAACAGTGAGAACACTGCAGGCAACAGTTAAAACACTCTAGGCAACAGTAAAAACACTCTAGGCAACAGTGAGAACACTGCAGGCAACAGTGAGAACACTGCAGGCAGCTGTGAGAAAACTGCAGGCAACAGTTAAAACACTGTAGGCAACAGTTAAAACGCTCTAGGCAACAGTGAGAACACTGCAGGCAACAGTTAAAACACTGCAGGCAACAGTGAGAACACTGCAGGCAACAGGTTAAAACACTGAGGCAACAGTTAAACACTCTAGGCAACAGTGAGGACACTGCAGGCAACTGTGAGAACACTGCAGGTGAGAACACTGAACAGGCAACTGTGAGAACACAGGTGAGAACACTGCAAGCAACTGGAACACTGCAGGAGAACACTGCAGGCAACAGTGAACACTGCAGGCAACAGTGAGAACACTGAGAACACTGCAGGCAACAGAGTAACAGTGAGAACACTGCAGGCAACAGTGAACACTGTGAGAACACTGTAGGCAACTAGAAAACACTGCAGGCAACAGTGAGAACACTGCAGGCAACAGTGAGAACACTGCAGGCAACAGTGAAAACACTGCAGGCAACAGTGAAAACACTGCAGGCAACAGTGAGAACACTGCAGGCAACAGTGAAAACACTGCAGGCAACAGTGAGAACACTGCAGGCAACAGTTAAAACACTGTAGGCAACAGTGAGAACACCGCAGGCAACAGTGCGAACACTGCAGGCAACAGTTAAAACACTGTAGGCAACAGTGAGAACACTACAGGCAACAGTGAGAACACCGCAGGCAACAGTGAGAACACTGCAGGCAACTGTGAGAACACTGTAGGCAACAGTGAGAACACTGCAGGCAACAGTGAGAACACTGCAGGCAACAGTGAAAACACTGCAGGCAACTGAGAACACTGCAGGCAACAGTGAAAACACTGCAGGCAACAGTGAAAACACTGCAGGCAACAGTTAAAACACTGTAGGCAACAGTGAGAACACTACAGGCAACAGTGAGAACACCGCAGGCAACAGTGAGAACACTGCAGGCACCGGTAAGAACTCTGCGGGCAACAGGGGTCACAGCTTAAGGCTGAAGAAGCCACAGATTCAGAATATTGTCAGCGCAAACTTTTTCGGAGTGAGAGTTGTGAACCCTTGGAAAAATCTGTCAGAGTGTGTTGTGACGGCACCGAGTGTGAGCTCTTTTCAAGACCAGACTTGACCAACACTGGAGCAGGTACAGATACATCCTGGAGCCAGTACATACCAAGTACTTGCTATCAGTTTGTAACAGACGTGACCGACCACCCAAGAGGTTAACGAGCCATTCAGTGCCAAAGAGGATAAAGGTAAAATAATAGGGAGTGTCAGTACGTGCAGCGGGGTGAGGCTCCTCATACCAGACTAGGGAGCGGCAGGAAACAATCATCCACTCCCTGGAATCTCATGGGAGGCGCCACACTGGTCAGGGCTGTGGCTTCCTGCCCTCGAACGATAGAAAAAAAATACTACTGACAAATTCAACTAACATTTGTTGACACTTACCGTACAATATTTCATCTAGACTCTAGACTAGAGGGAGAGAGAAATAATCAAACTGAAGACAGACAAAACTATTTACCTCTTGTTAATAACAATTGTCACGCGTTCTGTTGACAACAATTACTTCTCTCAACATAGACGAAAGTTTTAATTATCCTACTTCTGCCACCACGGTGTATACACAAACAATAAAACTGTTATTGTCTCGATATAATTGTCAAAAGCCTTCGTCCGTTGTGTCATTATTTAACACAAAAGTGACTCTTCAGGCGCCAGTTACCGCTAATAATTATAGACATTTCTAATAACAAACAAACAAACAAACATATTTTTAAAGTAAAATTTCTTTATGAATCAGATAACGTCACAAATAGGTCAGTTAATATCAGTAATTAGTCAGTTAAAGCTACAAATAAGTTAATATCAGCAATAAGTCGAATTCAGTCGTAATTCAGTCATAACTGTTGACTGTGTAACCGAGGGAAGTGACTGTTGTGTATGTAATTAAAAGGTATGGACACTCTTTTACAATATGTTCCATCATAACTACATTTCTCACAGCAAGTATTTTTTGGCACGATGACGCTATTCTGTACGTGGACTTGTTCTGTAGTGATCTTGTTGTCGTTTGTACTCTGGTGGTGTTGTGAGGAGGAAGGAGGGGGACTAGACTCTCAGTTATGTGTGACACTACACTGCGATATCACTTTAATGAAATGGTTCAACTATGTGGTATTAGTATTATTGTTGTTTACAGGTTAGTAAAATGGCCATTGATCTCTGAATATTATCTGCCGGAAAATCTGTCTCAAGGAAAAGTAACCAGGTTAACATATTTTGTTAGTTTTGGAATGGCTTAAAACAACTACAAGAAGTGTATTACTGGGTTGTTTAATAATTGTAGTCTCTTCAAAAGATTTAAATGTAAACCTTTGAGTCCGAAAAGTTATATTTAGTTAATATAGCGGTATTAAGGACGACGGCCTAAACTGTACTGTACATTCAGCTCATCTGTTTTTTTCTGAGTGTTGCCGAACGGGCGGGATCGTGACTCTACATGATGCATTTAGAGAGTTGCTAGGCGAACATGGCGTCTTTAACCTGTCCATTGTATGTCTGGTCTGTTCTTGAGTCATGGCCACAGGTTCAGGTAAACTGTTCAATGTGTCCACAATACGCAGTGATAAGTTGTTATGTCTCAGCTTGGCGTGAGGACGTGCCTGGAACAGCTTGACGCCCCTTGTATTGCAGTTATGTGGTGGGAGTGGCGGTCAAGCTTACTGTATGTAGTTGAGGGGATCGGCAACTTCCACTACACATTGTCTTCATAACAGGAGTCTCACAGGCCGGATATCAGTATGGTCGCCCTCCTCTGACCGCCCTGGCTCGCGTGGCTGCAGGGAGATGATGCTGCCTGTAACAGTGGTCACAGTTTGTGAATCTAAATGGAAGAATGATCACCGCTACAGATAATCGTCATTGACATTTCAACTACTGCAGATTCATCTCAAGTTCTTACTAGTCTTGACAGATTGTTTTGGTTGGGTCATGAACTAGTCGTCGTCTCGTCTCCTCTGTTATCAAACTATATATGTATCTATCTATTTTTCCATTCTTTCATATTTGTTTGTCTCTTCGTCTTTAGCTGATCTGTGTGTGTGTGTGTAGGGGGGGGGGGGTAAAACAATACATTTAAATGTATTACTGTTCTTGTAAACAAGATAATCACCCGTTACACAGCAGTCAGGAGGCCCGCCCGTTAACACACCTCACGAGTATGGAAGAAATAATGGATAGACTAGACAGAAAATGACGGAAAGAGAGACAGACAGAAAGGCATAAAAACTGACAGACAGAAAAGCATAAAAACAGAGACAGAAAAGCAGTTAAATGTCATCAGTATATACAGTGTAGACAGCTTTTTGTCTTCACCAAAAACTTGTGTGAATCTTAGACAACATGAGAGAAAAACAAAACAATATGAGCAACACGGCGAGTGCGTCACTACTGTCCCATTGACCTTGTGAGGAATATGCGTTTCCTCACGGACGTGAATATTGTTTTTGTTCTCCTCCCGGACGTGAAGACTGTCCTTGATCATCTCCTGGGTGTAGGACTGTCTCTGATCTTCTCCTGAGTGTGAAGACTTTCCCTGATCTTCTCCTGAGTGTGAAGACTTTCCCTGATCTTCTCCCGAGTGTGAAGACCATCTCTGATCTTCTCCTGAGTGTGAAGACTTTCCCTGATCTTCTCCCGAGTGTGAAGACCATCTCTGATCTTCTCCTGAGTGTGAAGACTTTCCCTGATCTTCTCCTGAGTGTGAAGACTTTCCCTGATCTTCTCCCGAGTGTAAACTGTCCCCGATCTTCTCGTGTGTGAAAACTGTTCTTTATCTTCTCTCTCCTGGACGTGAAACTTAGCTTCACCCTTTTTTCATGGGAGTTCCAATTTTATTTATTCTTATCTGGTAAAGTACTCATATTGTTTATTCTTGCTTGGATGCGTAAAAACTTTGTTGGATTTTTTTTTCTGCGGAATTTGAAGATTTTTTTCTTCTATGTCTCATAGTAATGTTACTGCCCCACTCCGAAGTGGGCTTCACGTAACTCGTGTCGCGTCTGACGTAAATGACTCCCTCTAACTACCTGTAATTTACGTTACGAACGTGGCGTGTTTACCACCAGTGTCCTCCACCAGCCACGATAACACTAAAATGGCGAGAAAAACACTCCAGCATAAATCCCTTTTATATGCCACCCATGGTTCCTGAGCATATACTGTACTGCACATCGCTCAATATTCTCAATGTTTTCAAATAATTCTGAAATAAAATCATTGTGATCACCCATGTCTACCACGATCAAGTGTTGGGTGTGCTTCAGACCCCTAGCCTATACCATCTGTGGTGTCCGTTGAGCTGTACTGTACATCTATCACCACAACATCGTGACTCAGAAGGAAACTGCCGCCTCTAGGTTGTCATAGATGTGCTTTCTTACCCAGACATTTGGTGAGTGTAGCCCCAGACCACATGTTAAGTCTTTGATCACACACATGTCCCCACACCTGAGAGCTTCTGTTAGCGTCATCATCCGTCTCGTCTCAGAACAACAGTCTTGATAGTTCCACAGCCATATCATAGTGGTTCATGCATAAGATGTACACACAAGATTCAGCTCAAGTGTAAAGATAATCCTGAAAATCTTAGCCACTACGGAAAATGGATTTGACTCTTACAGAAAACTTAATGAAAACACTATTGGATTAGGATTTTTTTAGATTGCCCCCGAGGGGACTAGTTTATTGGGCACCCCCTTACATCCTGTGCAAGGTGAAGCGCAGAAGCGTTTACAGCGCCCATCTGAGAAGAATACCGAGTTCATGTTTGCCTTTATGACTCATGCATTAAGGGCATAAAAGCCTAAAGGGTCATGGGTTTTGTCAACAAGTTACATAAAGTGACAAAATACCCCCTCCCCAGACTATACCCGGGGTTAAAGTGGGCTAGCCTGTTTTATACCCCGGGCATATTCTGGGCTAGTCCAGTTTATACCCCGGGGTATAAAATAGGCTAGGCTATTTCATACCCCACTAGGCCAGATTATACCCCCCCCCCCCACACACACACACACTCAGAAACCAGCCCTATGAGAGTTCTGTTTTGAACTTAGTGGTCTGGCTAAACTATCTTAATTTAAATTAAAAAACACACTCAGATATTAAATTTTGATTTGATTTCTCACGTAACCAAACCTAACCTACCTCTCCCACGGGACCTGAATTCACTTGTTCTGGCCCTGGTGGGGTAATACCACCCCACACCTCATTCCTAAGCCTATCTCTTAAACCTATAAAATTTGCTTTTCTGAAGTCTGTTACAATTCTATTATTTTCTTTCTTCTCATTTGTTAAGTTAAGGTCAAATCTGATGACTTTGTGATCGCTGTTTCCTAATGTTTCTCCAATTTCTAAATTTGTAATTGTATTTTATCTATTACTTAATACAAAATCCAGTATATTATTCCCCCGAGTTACCTTATTTATGAAAAATATACCCCCTCCCCAGACTATACCTGGGGTTAAAGTGGGCTAGCCTGTTTTATACCCCGGGTATATTGTGGGCTATTCCAGTTTATACCCCAGGGGGTATAATCTGGACTAGAGAGGTATAATCTGGGCTAGCCCAAAATATACCCCGGGGTATAATATAGCCTGGGCTATTTTATACCCCGGGGTATATTTTGGGCTAGCTCACTTTAACCCCGGGTATAGTCTGGGGGGGGGGCTAATGTGGGCTGCTACACCGGTACAATTTATCTGCTTATGGCAAAGTGTGGCAGGTCCCTAATAATGTCAAGCGCCAAGCCTGTCACTAGGAGGAGGGATATCTGGTCAGGGAGGTTAGAGGTGTTGGTAACGGCTGGGGACCTGTAGGAGGAGGTCATAGGGCAAGTGAGGATGTAGTGAGAGGGGGTGTGAGAGTCGAGTTGACCACAAAGCTTACAAACAGTGCGGCCAGGCTCATGGTTGCCAACAGGGCCGGATTAAGGCCAATTGATGCCCTAAGCACAGCCCAACAATGGTGCCCCCTCGGCCCTCCCATTGCTTAATTGACAAGATATTAAGACCATGATTAAGACTCAATGAATACTGATGTTGAAATATAAGATAAAAAATTCAGGTTTCTTCCAGGCCACAAGCCAGATCCTACAATTTTCTCATCACTTATGTTAGACTAGAACCAGAACAATTACAGTTAAAGACAATTAAGATATAAAAACAAAGAGTTGAAGTTTTTCAACATTTGATAATTATAAAAATCACTTAAATTAGACAGTTTTGATTTAACCTTATTTATTATAACAATTAGGCCTAGAGTTACTGCTCTTAATTTAGTAACACAATATATTAATATAGTTAAAATATCTACCTCTTTATTTTGTAAATATAAAGTAATTTAATTAATGAGAAATTCAGAAACTTACTTGTTACTTCACACAATCCACCTCATACCACAAGTTAAAATAGACACATTTCGTTGATACTGCAAGAGCCTGAGTGACGGGCTGAGAAGCGAGGGAACGAACTTCGACAATTTCAGACGTTCAGGAACGTTCTTGAACGTGTATAAAATAATGCCGTTTTCCATTGGGCAACGTGTCCTTTAAAAAAAAAGAGCACAGTTTTCTTGGTTTAAAACCCTTACAAAACATAGTTAACGAACAAAATGGGATAAATATTTTTCACCAATTTTATACGGCGGTTTTACACCAGCCTATTAGGTTTTATCGTAAATATGATCTGGTCACTAGAAGGCATAATACCTTCAAAAGAAAAACCTGTGGTGCCCCCTTCTTTTGGTGCCCTAAGCACGTGCTTATTTTGCTTAATGGTTAATCCAGCCCTGGTTGCCAATGTACTAGGCGTGGCGAGATGATCCGATAGCCATCACCTGTGACACCTGTGATGTTTTACCTGCACAGATAAGTTTATACTAAATGTTGATATATTACTCTATCATTACGTTGCATAAATAGATGATAAACAAATTAAAGAAAAGGAACACATACTCTCCAAGGATGAAAATAATATGTTTCTAGTTACCACCTCTTGTGTTGTTTGGAGGACGTGTGGTAGTGGTGGTGGCAGTGATGGTGGTGGTGGCGGTGATGGTGGTAGTAGTGGTGATGGTAGTTATGGTGGTGGTGATGATGGGGATGACATACGTTAGAAGAGCCAGGGCAGTCACCACTCAGTCATGAACACCACCTAAAAGCACCATCTACAGGCATCACTTACAGGCATCACCTACTAATGTATATCTCCTGCAGACATCACCTACAGGCATCACTTACAGGCATCACCTACAGACATCACTTACAAGCATCACGTACATACTGTTTTCACCTACAAGCATCACCTACATAACGTACATCACCTGTAGACATCACCTACAGGCATCACCTACAGGCATCACCTACATACATCACCTACAGGCATCACCAACAGACATCACCTACAGGCATCACCTACATACATCACCTATAGGCATCACCTGCAGACATCACCTACAGGCATCACCTGCAGACATCACCTACAGGCATCACCTACAGGCATCACCTACATGCATCACCTACAGGCATCACCAACAGACATCACCTACAGGCATCACCTACATACATCACCTACAGGCATCACCTACATACATCACCCACAGGCAACACCACAGGCATCACCCACAGGCATCACCAACAGACATCACCTACAGGCATCACCTACATACATCACCTACAGGCATCACCTACAGGCATCACCAATAGACATCACCTACAGGCATCACCTGCAGACATCACCTACAGGCATCACCTACATACATCACCCTACAGGCATCACCTACAGGCATCACCAACAGACATCACCTACAGGCATCACCTGCAGGCATCACCTACAGGCATCACCTACAGGCATCACCTACATACATTACCTACAAGCATTACCTACAAGCATCACCACAGGCATCACTCACAGGCATCACCAACAGACATCACCTACAGGCATCACCTGCAGACATCACCTACAGGCATCACCTACATACATCACCTACAGGCATCACCAACAGACATCACCTACAGGCATCACCTGCAGACATCACCTACAGGCATCACCTACAGGCATCACCTACAGACATCACCTACAGGCATCACCTACAGGCATCACTACATACATTACCTACAAGCATTACCTACAAGCATCACCTACAGGCATCACCTACAGACATCACCTACAGGCATCACCTACAGGCATCACCTATATACATTACCTACAAGCATTACCTACAAGCATCACCTACAGGCATCACCTATAGGCATTATCAACAGGCATCACCTCCATGCTGATGGGTGACGACCAGGGGTGAGGACTGGTGGGTGACAGTAAGGGCTGATGGGTGACGACCAGGGGTGAGGACTGGTGGGTGACGGTAAGGGCTGGTGGGTGACGACCAGGGGTGAGGACTGGTGGGTGACGACCAGCGGGTGAGGGCTGGTGGGTGAGGGCTGGTGGGTGACGGCCAGGGGTGAGAGCTGGTGGATGACGGTGAGGGCTCAGGGTGACGACCAGGAGGTGAGGACTGGTGGGTGACGACCAGGGGTGAGGACCGGTGGATGACGGTGAAGGCTGATGGGTGACGGCCAGGGGGTGAGGACTGGTGAGTGACGGCCAGAGGGTGAGGACTGGTGGGTGACGACCAAGGGGTGAGGGCTGTCGGGTGACGGTCAGGGGGTGAGGGCTGGTGGATGACGGTGAGGGCTGATGGGTGACGGCCAGGGGGCGTGGACTGGTGGGTGACGGTCAGGGGGTGAAGGCTGGTGGACGTGGGAAAAAAGGCCTCTCCCATTCAAGTATTAGGTCAGTACCGGCATTCATAAAGCTACTGACGCAGGTAACACACTCCCCTCGAGCAGACACAGGAGGAGGTCAATGCCTAGTACTACACAATGCCTCCGTCATGTTCACCTCGCTAACTGAAGCAGGAACTGAAACACATGAACAGTGTTTGTGTGCGAAGCCATGTTGGTGGCAGTTAACCAACTCCTCGCCTGTGAAGATGCGTCGTTATAAGATCCTGGTGCACCGGAAGCCAACCTCTACATCCGCTGTTGGGAAGGTAATGGGGTGGTCTAGCCGAGCATAATGCCAGTTGTTAAAGGTAATTTCACGGACATTTAAGGGGTGACCCTCGTCTTGTCCAAAATTTTCCTACAGAGGGACATTGAGCTATGCGCGCTGCAAGGTTAGGTGAAATTGCTTTATAAATTGCGTTGTGTTCAGGTAATTTTTTTCTATCAGAACGTAACTCAAAGGTTGTGTATAATCATCAGCATCCAACACCATGAGCTGAAGATATCGCCAGACTCCTGCCTCAAGTGATATATCTTATTAGACTATAACCCGTATTTCCATTTTCACTCCATGTTCGTGCTCTAACGTCGACCCTTTCATTATTTTTTCTGTCACTTTATTATTTACTATTCTAAGGAGACACGATCTACTGCCCATCCCCTTCTATAATTACTATATTCACTTCCTCAATTCTTGCCGTCAATATATTGTTGAGATGATAAACATGAAAACATCTTCCTTGTCATTTAATTCTTGCACTCCCTGGTAGTGCAGCTCGCTGGGTCTTCACTTCCTCCTTTTATCAATAACCTACAACTCGTCAATTGTAAAAAACAGTCAACTTCTAACGTTTCATCTCCCCTACAAGTTGTGTAAAGTAAATTTAGCTGAGTAATAATCTTTGCTGCTGAGAAAAAATAAATAAAATTTATTCACCAAAATGTTACCATCACATCACACTTTAGTTATGCCAGAAACACTACCATGGTGAAGGCAGTACAACAGTTGCTGCACTATTCACACTACCTAGCTTTGTGGGGCAAAAACTCGTGTTCCCCAGACCCGAGTGGCCTACTGGAGGGACTGCAGGACTGTCGTCACGGATAGAGCCCTTCTCAGGTTCCTTCCCGGAATTATAAGTGCTTGATGTGTCAGTGTGTGGCAACAAGGAATGCAAAATTATTACTACTTATGAAAAAAATATTTAATTTATTTTTCTCACTTGAGCACTGGACACCCACTTAAAGATAGTATACCTAACTTTATCTAATTTGGCTATCATAAGATAACAAACTACGACCCAAATGAAGCAGACCAAATTTTACCATATACAACTTACTTATCGTTTATATCGATATACTTACCAAAGTAAAACTCGAATCTAATCAAATGAGTGAAAAGACAAGGCAGATCAGCAGCTACAGTTCATTTGTAAATTGTCCGTCAAATATTCCATAGAAACGATGCACATAATATACCCTTATGCTCAGCAATCTTAACTATAAAAAACAAAATCTGTAAGTACTGTACCCTGCCTGCTGTGAGTGTGGCGAGAACCCGGAACCAGCGACGCCTGACAATTTTCCTAGTTACCAGAAATTCACTCACGGTCAGTTCATGAGGTAATTTCAACACCTATACATAGGGGGGAATTTGTGTGTGGTCATCAGAGACACCATTACCTTCGTTACAGGTAAGTGTGTGTGTGTGTGTGTGTGTGTGTGTGTGTGTGTGTGTGTGTGTGTCACTATTACATGGAACTGGGAAGTGAAACAGTCTAGAGGAGATTTCTACAAAACTCATTTTTCAATTTAGTTTTCGTAATTAATCTACACCGGAGTAAGGAAGCTGTGAATGTCCACAAGATTATTCTAATAAAACTAATCATGTATAAATATTTCCCCAACTCTTAACTCCATAATGTCCGTTAACTGTGATTCTGTTGTAATGTTTCTCCATTTGTCATATTCATATTAGGTTCAAGTTTACGGATTAAACAGAAGCATATGAAGAACAAACTATTAAAAATATATCTATCATAAATTAACATATTAACAGCTATAACAGTTAAATAGGACATGTGTTTGTTCTGTCAAGTGTGATTTTTGTTCTATTCTACAACCATTAGGAGGGGTGCGCACGGTGACACCTCCTGGTTCCGCTAATGCGTTTTATAAAGAACCACTGAACCAACAGTCTCAAACACACAAACAAGATCACTATTAACCTCCTCAGTTATTTAGCAACATCCTCACTACACCACCAGCCATCAACGTCAGTATTCTTGATCTTATTACAACTAGTTCTCACCTCTTCGTACTACTTTACCTCTGCATAACTTAATCCCTGTACGACAACTCTTTCTCGGGTGTGGGGTGACGCTACACAGTCTTACAAGTCACTCTTACACAAATTACACTCGCAATCATTTGACCTCACTACCATCAGGCCCTCACTTCCTCCTTACCTCCAAAAGATGGCATACTGTATCTTCACTCCTTCCTCTACTCTTTTTTTTTTCAATTCCATTCCCACACTAATCATATCATGCTGCTGTGTAATGACCATATATTGAGACGCCATCATCATCATCATCCTCAGCCATCTCCTTCATTCCTTGTACTTAACGGTAATAACAATCTTATATCCTGTCTTTTGTCTGCCTCGTGTTGTGTCACTCTGAGTGTTCTTTGCGCCAATTTGCCTCTGTCCAACTAACCATAATTGGGAACCGTTATATTAATCGATTTGCGGATCTTGTTCTCGGGTAATGGTTAGCCAGTGCAGTTAGCGATTTGTCCGGCTTCTCGGATCATTCCTTGACGCAGGGTCATACAGCTCGTTAACTTCGATGTGGCTGTTGTGTTGGCGACAGCTTCTACACCTTAAACAAATTCACGCCTTGGTTTGTCCGAGGGCGGGCCAAACCGGGCCATCCTCGAAACACGAGAGGCAACCATTCTTACTGTGTTGCCATGTGTTTACCGAGTGTTGCTGTGTCACCGAGTGTTACCATATGTCACTGAGTGTTACCATGTCACTGAGTGTTACCATATGTCACTGAGTGTTACCATGTCACTGAGTATTACCATATGTCACCGAGTGTTACCATGTCACTGAGTGTTACCATATGTCACTGAGTGTTACCATGTCACTGAGTGTTACCATATGTCACCGAGTGTTACCATGTCACTGAGTGTTACCATATGTCACCGAGTGTTACCATGTCACTGAGTGTTACCATATGTCACCGAGTGTTACCAAGTCACTGAGTGTTACCATATGTCACCGAGTGTTACCATGTCACTGAGTGTTACCATATGTGTGTTACCCATGTCACTGGAGTGTGGAGTGTTACCATGTCACTGAGTGTTACCATATGTCACCGAGTGTTACCCTGAGTGTTACCATATGTAGTGTACCATGTCACTGAGTGTTACCATATGTCACCGAGTGTTACCATGTCACTGAGTGTTACCATATGTCACCGAGTGTTACCATGTCACTGAGTGTTACCATGTCACTGAGTGTTACCATATGTCACCGAGTGTTACCATGTCACAGTGTTACCATATGTCGCTAAGTGTTACCATGTCACTGAGTGTTGTTACCATATGTCACCGAGTGTTACCATATGTAGTGTTACCGAGTGTTACCATATGTCACTGAGTGTTACCAAGTCACTGAGTGTTACCATATGTCACTGAGTGTTACCATGTCACCGAGGTGTTACCAGTCACCGAGTGTTACACCATGTCACCGGAGTGTTACCATGTCACTGAGTGTTACCATATGTCACTGAGTGTTACCATGTCTGAGTGTTACCATATGTCAGTGTTACCATGTCACTGAGTGTTACCATATGTCACTGAGTGTTCAAGTCACTGAGTGTTACCATATGTCACTGAGTATTACCATGTCACTGAGTGTTACCATATGTCACCAGAGTGTTACCATGTCACTGAGTGTTACCATATGTCACCGAGTGTTACCATGTCACAGTGTTACCATATGTCACTGAGTGTTACCATGTCACAGTGTTACCATATGTCACCGAGTGTTACCATGTCACAGTGTTACCATGTCACTAAGTGTTACCATATGTCACTAAGTGTTACCATGTCACTGAGTGTTACCATATGTCACCGAGTGTTACCATATGTCACCGAGTGTTACCATGTCACTGAGTGTTACCATGTCACTGAGTGTTACCATGTCACTGAGTGTTACCATATGTCACTGAGTGTTACCAAGTCACTGAGTGTTACCATGTCACTGAGTGTTGTCACGATGTGTTACCATATGTCATGTTACCATGTCACTGAGTGTTACCATGTCACAGTGTTAGTCACTGAGTGTTACCATGTCACCGAGTGTTACCATATGTCACACCATGTCATACTGAGTGTTACCATGTCACTGAGTGTTACCATATGTCACTGAGTGTTACCATGTCACTGAGTGTTACCATGTCACTGAGTGTTACCATGTCACTGAGTGTTACCATGTCACCGAGTGTTACCACATGTCACTGAGTATTACCATGTCACTGAGTGTTACCATGTCACTGAGTGTTACCATATGTCACTGAGTGTTACCAAGTCACTGAGTGTTACCATGTCACCGAGTGTTACCATATGTCACTGAGTGTTACCATGTCACTGAGTGTTACCATATGTCACTGAGTATTACCATGTCACTGAGTGTTACCATGTCACTGAGTGTTACCATATGTCACTGAGTGTTACCAATTCACTGAGTGTTACCATGTCACCGAGTGTTACCATGTCACTGAGTGATGTCTTGTGTCACCGAGTAAGAGTCGCCTAAGATATTTCATGGTGACAGAGCTCTTCCCGCCAACATTCAGAAATCCGTAAACTCGTTCAGTCTTGTATCAGTAAATTATTGTTATGTCTGTGAACCTTTAGCTCACGATGACGATACTTCTCATGGAGGGTAAGACAGGCTAGCACACCTCTCTCTATCAGTGCG